CTACTATTGCGTCTGCAAGGAACCGTCCGGCGGAGCTGTTCCGGATTGTCAGAGGTCTTTTAACTCCCGCCATCCCAGGCGGGAGCCCTGACAATTCGGCCACATGCTGTGAAGCATTTGCTCGGTTCTTTGCAGACAAAGTCGCTTTGATCCGTTCTGGTCTAGACACCATGTTAAATGCAGTCTCTGAGGATGTGACACGAGCACCTGCTTGTCCTATTTTGATGGATTCTTTTCAATTTGTGAAGCCCGAGGATGTGGACAAGATACTTGGAGGAATGAGGCCCACTGCGTCCATCCTAGACCCCTGCCCATCCTGGCTTCTGAAGGAGGCCAGAGGGGGATTGGCTGAGTGGGTAACGGTGGTGGTTAACGCCTCCCTCCGGGAAGGCGAAATTCCAGCAAGCTTAAAACAAGCTATTATAAAACCGCTGTTGAAGAAACCATCACTGGACCCCACTAAATTTGACAACTTTCGGCCTGTTTCCAATCTCCCCTTTTTGGGCAAAGTCATGGAAAGCGTGGTGGCCTCACAACTCCAGGTATTCTTGAGAGACACGGATTATCTGGATCCGGCACAGTCTGGTTTCAGGCCGGGACATGGAACTGAGACGGTTATAAGGGTCTTCGAGGCTTATCAAGGCAGGGGGGAAACAATCAAAGAAATCCCACCGCTGCCACCAATTATAATAACTCAGAAGAGGCGTCTGGGCAGGGGGTCAAACGAATCCCACCACCGTCCTTCCTTAAATAAGGAATTCACACCACCTTGGTTCTAATAGTGCTTGAGGGGATGTCACGTTATGTAAAACTTTCGCTGCCACCAAAACTAAAGAAATCACGAACCCTCTAGCTATTTTTTAAAATGTTAAAAAGGCTGTTTAAATTATTAAAAGGCTTTTTATTCCACCAAAGGCTGTGTGTTATCAAGGGCTTTCTGTGAGGGGAAACAGAAGAGGTTGATTCAATAAGGAAAAGGATTCAAAACCAAAAATGGCACTTGACTCAGGCTTGACTTTTAAAAATAACAAGAAAGAGTTTATTGTTTACAAATTATAGATTTACAAGTGATATGCAGGTTCAGAGGCTTGATGGTTACAGATAAAAGTGTTCTTGTTTCTTATAAGCGTATTGGTTACTTGAGAGAATGTTCTTTTCTTAGTTACAATTTCTTAAACATAAAACCCCCAGCTATTTTCTTTCCCAAAATAGCTGTAACTCAGTCTGCCACAGCCTACTGTGCTGTGCAAACTACAGGCAAACTGCCTTTTCTTCACAGAGACTCCTAAACAATCCAACTCCTACTCTAATCTCTCTCCAGAACTAAACTGCTTTCACTCTACTCAGAACTCAGCTGAACTAAAAACTGAACTGTCAAAACTATCTCTTCTCTTTCCCTCCAACTGACTAACTCCGCCCCTCTTCCCTAAACCAATCCTGGCTGTTGCTGGGCTGGCACAGGCCTCGGCCACTCCCCCTTCTCTGAACTGGAGCTCTTTCCCTAAACTAAGATGGCTCCAGCAGCTCTCTGCCAGGCCTTCTAACTGAAACTACCTAGCCTGTCTCTTCCTGGGCCCTGCCACCCTGGCTGGCAAGGTAAGGGATCTTTACAACGGTCTTGGTCGCCTTAGTGGATGATCTGCGCCGGGAGCTAGACAGGGGGAGTGTGTCCCTGTTGGTGCTCCTGGACCTCTCAGCGGCCTTCGATACCGTCGACCACGGTATCCTTCTGGGGCGTTTTGCGGAAATGGGCCTCGGGGGCACTGTTCTGCAGTGGCTCCGGTCATTTCTGGAAGGCCGCTCCCAGAAGGTGATATTGGGGGACACCTGTTCAACGCCACAGCCTTTGACTTGTGGGGTTCCACAGGGCTCTATACTGTCCCCCATTAGTGTAATTTTAGGATTGTTGTATTGTTGTATTGTTAATAACTTGTTTGATAATGTCTTTTTGTAACTTGCTTTTTATACTGTACACCGCCATGAGTCGCCCTGAGGGGCTGAGAATGGCGGTTAATAAATGCATCAAATAAATAAATAAATAAATAAATAAATAAATAAAAGAAATATATTGTTTGTACATGGTGAGCTGCTGTATCAGTTTTCTCCAAGACAATACTCGCTTCAGAGTTGAACATATTTGACAAATATAATAAACAGCACAAAAATATCCTCCAAAATGTAGGTGAACTATCAAGTGAAATTTGGGGTCAGATAGTTGTAACAGACAATTATGCTGGGGAAAGTGGAAGGCAAAAGGAAGAGGGGCCGACCAAGGGCAAGATGGATGGATGGCATCTTTGAAGTGACTGGACTGACCTTGAAGGAGCTGGGGGTGGTGACGGCCGACAGGGAGCTCTGGCGTGGACTGGTCCATGAGGTCACGAAGAGTCGGAGACAACTGAACGAATGAACAACAGTTGTAACAGATAGATAAATCAATTATGACTTTGAATGTTTTTCAGATATGCTGATGTCCATCACTGCACAATATGATAATTTGGCATCAGCATAATATTGCTACCTCTTAATCTGATGACATACCTTGAAAATATGTATCTTTCCCATGTTAACTCTTGTGCTTCTACCATTGCTGTAGAATATATATTTAGTATGCCATCCATTATATGTTCTTGAACCAGCATGCACAACATGTCAGATCACAATTATTTTAATTTTTTCCTATGGCATGAATAGAATATTCCATGCCCTCTGAGAGGTCATCAAAGCTATGGAAGCAACTATTAACTGGTAACAAGATACAACAGAAGTAATATAAGAATGGTTGCCTTAACTTCCTAACGGTAAGTATTCATATTGGCTAGGTATCATCTTGTATTTCTGCAAATATATTTGCACATCTCTATCCAAGTTTATTATACCAAATTGGTTCTATTGTTTAGTATCCATTGTTGCATTATTTCCTCCTTTTCATGTGTAGTGACAATATTTTTTTCAAAAGAGTATGTTTGCTCAAATTAATCTTTCTAAACTTGAGCAGCTTGTTCAAGACTACAGTAAAGCACAACTGCGTGGACATCAAGTTCCTCTTCATGATAGTATTTCAGTATTAAATGCATACCACCTCTGCAATTGCTGAAGTGCTGATAGCAATATCTTGAAAGCATGATCATACGAAACCATGAGCAGCTATTGAGAACAGTTGGAATCCTTTAAACCAGGGGTCCTCAAACTAAGGCCCGAGGGCCGGATACAGCCCTCCAAGGTCATTTACCCGGCTCTTGCTTGGAGTCAACCTAAGTCTGAAACGACTTGAAAGCACACAACAACAACAATCCAATCTCATAAGCCAAAAGTAGGCCCACACTTCTCATTGAAATACTAATAAGTTTATATTTGGTAAAATTATTCATTTTAATTGTTTTGTTTTTAAGTGTCTTTTGCACTACAAATAAGATATGTGCAGTTTGCATAGGAATTGTGTTTTTTTTCTAATTCTAATCCGACCCTTCAACAGTTTGAGGGACTGTGACCTGGACCTCTGTTTAAAAAGTTTGAGGACCCCTGCTTTAAATCATATCAACTTGAAAATTTGAGGAAAAAGAGTAGATCAGCAAATAGATTTAACATTGGTAACAGTATGGAACCAAGTAGTCTCTCATGTTCTATGAAGCTCCAGAGATCAAAGAAGTATATTTATTTATTTATTTACATCACTTATATCCCGCCCATATCAGCCCGCAAAAAGATGACCTACTAGTGAGGTTAAGTCCCTTCACAAAGTTTCCTGGGTAACATAATTCTAACAAGCTAAAATTTAAAAGCATAATTATTTCACATCTAACTGAGACCAAAACAATGCCTCTGCAAGGTATCTGGATTATCTTATCACTCTGCAATAATTTCCCTCCAATAAGGTTATATGCAAATTATAAATAATGGCAATCCCTTTTAAATGTATTATCGTCCAAATGAGTTCAATATACATCAATAGCATCAAGATCAGGATTCCAGATTCACACTGTCTATTCCAGTGGTTCCCAACCTGTGGCCCACGGACCACCAGTGGTCCGCAACGACTAAAATATGGTCTGTGGCCTCACCATTACTACACTGTTGCAATGAGAGCGACTAGTTTTGCAAAACCCTCTTATAGCACAAAGACTTATTAAATATGGTTTTCTGTAGGCTAGCAGATGGCAAATATTGGATGGCATATATTCTGTATCGGAAACTAGAGCCGATGTGGTCAGTCCAATGCAATTTTCTGAATCAGCACCCCAAATAACCAATCTGAATCTAAAGTTGACCAAAAACTGATTCGTAACCTTTTTGGTACTAATGTTGGAGTTGTCCCTGGTCAAGTGGTTGGGAACCACTGATCCATTCCAACAAATATTTAATTCCCATTTGTTTCATCTGTAATACATGTTATTAGAAGCATCTACACTACAGAATCAATGCAACTTGACACCACTGTAACTATCATGGCTCAATGCTATGGAATCCAGATATTTATAGCTTGGTGAGGCACCAGCACTCCTTTGGCAAAGAAAGCGAAGCACTTTGTAAAACTACAAATTACAGAATTTCATTACATTAAGCTACAGCAGTTGAAAGTGGTGTCAAATTGCATTAACTGCACAGTTAGATGCATCCACTGTACCAGATGTGCTCAGGAAGGTACCAATTAAAATAAAAACTTGTTAGGGTTTATTAATTTCATTTTTTATTAAGAAAATTACCTATGAATTGCTATGTCTGATTGCTATACTCAATTGTATCAAATATAGAATACTATGATGGATTGACTTAGGAGGGATGTCAGTCCCAGAAAATTATCAAGGGAGAACTAGGCAACATGACAAGAGCCTCAATTGTTCACACCTTCAATTATCAGTTTAATAGTTTTCTATAAGCTTTAGTACGCCAGCAAAATAAAAGGTGATCAACAGTTCTTTTAATACAGAAAAAGTAATAATCACTATGTATGTTAGGTTGCTCCTTTCCAAACAAAAGCAATAATAAAGATTACAAATAAGTTTGCAACTAAAAAGTATACAGCTGGAATTTTGTTGATGTGTGTTGTTAAGCAAGCAATCTAACCTTTTTTTCATTTTTTTTAACCCTGCTGAAGACATTTCTAATTTTATACTTATTAACAGGAAATTAAATTTCATGAGTTGTGAACTGATACAAATTATTAATGGGGAAAATAAAAATATTATTAGAGTAGCACAGCCATGAATTGTTAAGGGAGTACACTCAATTTTAATCAATACAAGCTTTCCATAAAAATCTATTCATTTGCTATATCCAGGGAGGGCAAAGACATTGCAAGGATGATCATTTGTCATTTGCTTGTGTGCAGAAGAAAGTAAATGTTAAAAAAACCCTCTGCGTTATGACAAGTGTATTGCTGATTAAGCATTATTTTCCTCTGTTAAAACTGATGAGAGAAGGAGATAACACACAAGAGGGATCATTGTCTCCTTTTAGTTATTTTATTAAGATCCATGTATTGTATAAAATAGAACAAGAAAACTGAACAAGTCTATAAAATCAAGTGAGCAGTCCAGATGACAAACCACTACAAGCTCCGCTTTCGTGGTTCGGTTTGAAGACACTAGAAGGCGGAGAGCCTCAAAGTGTATAGTTGCTGGATGTATATATCTGCACAGAAAGCCGATATGTTTCAAAAGTATGCCAAAGTAAGCTGATAAGAAAGATGGCTTTCCCAAGCCGCAGTTGCCCTTGACAAAGGTTACAAGGATGCACAGCTGCAAAGATTACATCAAGCACCTTTGAAGAACTGCTTGGAAGAACTTCACATTCAGCAGTTTAGAGGAAGGGTTTATAAAATACTGCACTGTACCAGTGATACCACGAGGCCCTCCATACCAGAGGAGGGTTTTTGTTTTCTCAAACGTGACAGTACCCATTAAACGCTCCCAAATCTATGATGCAGATAAAAGACACAGGAGCATTCCCTTCAAGGTTTAAGCCTTTTGTTGGAAAGTTTGTAGAAACGCGACACCAGCCAATGACCCTTTCCTTGTTCCTTTTATATTACCAAAATAACACATCCAGATTCTAAAATCTGGAAGTAAGACAGTGACCCACACGCCCTCAGGAGCTAAATTATAACACTAGAACTGTTTTACATCTTATAACAAATGATCTATAGCTGTGCACAACAATGCACCACTTCCTACTGAAAGTGTGAGTAGAGAGGGGTATCCAATTTTTAAAAAACCAACCCACAAGTCAGGATGAGTACTGATAAAAAGGGTGGAACAGCACTCAGCACTCTGAAGAGGGGGTGAAACTAAAAAACAGACCACTGTACCAAGGAGAAAGCTACAAGGCATTGGATTAGTCACTGAAGAGAATATAGCCTCTAATTTTTATCACAACCACAGATACTGCAGGCTTCTCCCAGCTACCCTGAATAAGGATACCATTTGGGCCTCTTTAACGAGTGCAAGCCACAGGTGCAGGGTTGGTACCTGCCCAAATGGGATGGGAAGCACTTCAAGGAATAATGCTTTTATCCAAGGCAAAGTAGATTATCCCATAACATGTGAATGCAACTTAAGTTTTAAAGTGAAAGGGAGAAGAGCTTTATAGAGGAGGAGGGGAGGGGAGCTCTTCAGAAGTGTTTCTTTAAAATATGTTGCAATAAACACACATGTTAATACCCAGTCTTTGGTACAATTTAAAATCAAAAATGAGTTGATGGGGAAACTCCACACATACACCATCAATATAGAAGAGAAATACATTTGCAAACACAATAGTTAAAACAGAAAATGAAATGCTAATTAGTGAGCAGTATGTGGACTTTTTGAAATATGCCCAATAAAGACTTGTCCCTATTTCAAACCCAAATGCTACTCTGTGTGCAGCATCAGGAATTCATGAAACATGGACAAGTAAAACGCACTTTTCATATTTCATGAGAACTGCTTGGTTGCAATAAGAAAAGTTACTGTAACCAAAGTAAAGACTTGTTTTATTTCTACTTTAGAAAGAGGAGGGAGTCAAGCATATCTGTTCTCCATTTCCCTCTTCACTGTTACATAAAGCAACATACATACATCCACACACAGGCGCACACTCCTTAATCTGCACTGAAAACGTCTTATTTATTTCTTCTTTTTTAACTGAAAAGGTAGATCCCAGGAGTAAGTGCAAAATGCAAAAATCAACTGAAAGGAAATGCTGAACAAGCAGCATAATTAAAATACAAAATATTTTATATTACTGAACTATTAAACGGGTAAATGTTCACTGTTTCTGCAAAACTTTGGAACCACACAGCTGATTTCTTAAATCTAGTCCATGTCAACTTCCAGAACTATTAGTGACTTAATTAGCTTCATTTTTTGATGCTTCATCGAAGTTTTCTACAAGATCTGTAAACAAAAACAAAAAAACAAAAACATAATATAGGAACAGTTAAACAGCAGTGTCAAGGAAAAATGTTTTCATTCAAATATATTTTACCTTAACTATTTTACAAAAGCATAAAAACAGCATTCAACCTTTACTTTAACAGAAAATTATTTTATCTATTCCGAGTTATGCACCATTCAAGGATTGGCTTCAGTGAGTTTCCTAGTCCTCCAGAGCAATTTTTTGAAGACATAGAGGTAATTGTAGAGGAGGAGAATTTCCTACACAGTCCCTGTCTGCTGCTGGAAAGAGATTATTTCCAGTATTCACAAAAAGGCCTCTTTAGTTTATTACTGTATTTCTTCAATTGTTAAGATGCATTATTCCCTATATAAACATATATAAAAAGGGGGTGCAACTTAGAATCACAGGCATATCTAATGTATTTTTGTTAGTGGTGGTGGTACTGAAATTAGGGTGCGTCTTACAATCGATAGTGTCTTAGAGTAGAAGAAATATGGTATTGTTTAACCAATTAACTCCAGTTTAGTTCTAGAAAAGCTGACTGTGCCAAGTTTAATTCTGGAGCAACCTTTGTCTCTGTGTCCGCCACCCAAGAGCAAATGAGTCTGCTAATTTATGTTTCTCTAACAAAAGTGATCTACCATGAAATTTTTATCCAGGATTAGGATATAAATTGTGCTTTAGCAGTGGGCTTTACACCAACGTAACGATGCCAAGCACTGCAATCTATAAACAGGTGTTCCTTATAGAAAACAGACTTCTGCATAACATCTAAATAGTACAATCTATAATTTGCCAATATTCTCCCTTATGTCCAATTCAAGATTAATTATGCAACCCCCGGTGGCACAATGGGTTAGACACTTGTGCCAGGGGGACTGAAGGTCAGAGGTTCGAATCTGGGGAGAGTCCTTGCAGATGGCCAGTTCTCTCACACTGGAAGTGACTTGCAGGTTCTCACGTTGCTCCTGACACAAAAAAAACGCTGAATGCTTTTGCAAAGTCTGAAGGTGCCTATTATAGTTAACTGGTAAATTTATTTATTTTATTTATTTATTTACTGTCCTTGTATACCGCCGTTTCTCAGCCTAACTGGCGACTCAACGCGGTTTACAACGCGGTAAACAACTGAATCTGAGACAACAAGCCAGACGAGACTACTGGTTCGTCAAAGCAAGTCCTGTTAACTCTTGACTGACCAAAAATCACAATTCTATGCACCGTTTTTTCTCCTACCCTGGTGGTATCCCATCTAAATACTAGCCAGGCCTGATCCTTTTTTGACTTCCAAAAAAACCCAGAATATTCAGGGTGGCATAGTAATTGCTAAATTCTTTAATGTACAAATGTATATCTAAATACTCTCATGTGTCTGGCTGCATCAGGATCTTACAGAATTAACTATGAACATATGAAGATGGCTTTCTAAACATGTCTGGGGGAACTCAGTTACAGAGCTATCATATTAGGTTCTGACAGCTGGATGCTACTATAAAGCTCTCTTAAGACTTTGGCATTCAAGATACAAAAATATCTGATATTGTTGGGTGTGTGATCACATTCAGGAAACTGGGTTCATATGCAAATGTTTGAAAAAAATTAAAAAGGGAGAGTATGGTGACTACGGAGTATAGAGGAAGCATGACTAGTTCTCCAGCTAATGATTAATTTAGTTATCCAGCTTTCTGGCCTTGCTCATTTTTATAAGATCATTCTACTATTGAGAACATACTCTTTAAATTAAAAAAAAAACAGGAAAAAACCTGTATTTTCACTGTCTCTATGGACAGTTCTTTCTACAATACTACCACAGAAACATCTTCTACCAAACAAATGGGGAATTGAATTATTTTGCATTTAAGCTCCTAAATAAAAGAACTAATCATCACCGCTATCATCATTATGATCACAATATCCAGTTCTGTTATGGACACAACATAAGGCAGGTATGCCTACTAAGACATTTTTATGAATAATAATAACAATTAAACTTTATTTCTAGACTGCACCTTTCTCCCAAAAGGGACTCGGTGGTTTACAGCACAAAAACAGGAAAACATTCAATGCCTTACCAAGTCACAAACAACATCAGGAATAATACAAGATAATACACAATAACAGCAATAAACTTATAATGGAAAAAAAATGTTGAAATGGGGAATAAATCAATTAGACAATAAACTAGGATGTGTAAACATTAAACATATATAATTAAAAACAGTTAGACATGCTTTGCATATGAAATGGCTAACACAGGTGTTTATTAAAATGTATCATAGCCATCATATAGTGCAAATGAGTTCGCCAGTGTTCCGATGGAATAGTATCTTAATCCTCCTCCTCTACAGTATCAATATTTGTCCTCAAAATTTAGTTAAGTGAACTTTCATTACAACTGTATTATTTTAATATTAGTTTTGGATTTAGCAAAAAAAAAAAATCCTACCAGGAACATCATCGTCTTCTTCATCAATATCTTCTGATTTTGGTACTTTGCTATCCAACACTAAAAAATAAAATGTAATGATTATACCACACATAAGGAAGTCACATGGAAAGGCATCCTCTTGAACTCAGTAAGACTGAATTCAAAGCAGACATGTATAGCATAGCATTGCAGAACTGCAATTGTGACATTACAGATTGAGTAACTCTTCTCCAAAATGCTTGGGGCTCAAAAAAGTGTTTTGGATTTTTTCATACTTCAGAATATTTATATTTGTATATACGTACATAATCTGATGCTTTGGTACCGGGATTCAAATCCAATTGCAAAATTCATGCATTTTCATATACACCCGATACACAAAGGGTATTTTTTTAAATAAATCGTGCATGAAATAAAGTTGGTGTACATTGAACCCTCAGAAAGCAATGTTGCCAGCCACTCATGTGGATGTTTTGGATTCTGAAGTATTTAATAATGATCGATGATCCATTTTCTACTTCCACTGAAACATTAATTTATTGCACTCCAAAATTAGTCATACTACCCACAGGCTAGTAGGAAATGGAACAAATCAGCCATTCTATTAAAGGTTTGGATTAAATGCTGTTAGCAAATGTAGAAATACAGGCTGTTCCCAAGTTACAAGCATCTGATTTACGGAAGACTCATCATTAAGAATGGGGGTGAGATAACAGGAAGTGAGAGAAATCTACCTCTAGGAAGGGAAACTCCTGAAATTTTATCACCAATCCGTGTTGCCACAACAAGCCAATTTTTTCAAAATCCAATTGTCACAGGGATGGAAAGTGAGGTGAAGTCTTCCAAATAGACACACACAGCAAAACAAACCCCAGGGCTGTTAACCCTTCCTTATGCTAACCAAAAGCTTATATATGTGTTTGTGGCTGGAGTTGTACTTACATACTGTACAAATTCCAACTGAGGAACAAACTCACAGAACCTATCTTGTTCATAACATGGGGACTGCCTGTACATGGGAGTGAGGTTCATTAAATGCAATGGGACTTGTTTTTGAGTAAGAATATATAGGATTGGTTAGTTGTACTATGGAAACTGTAGCACACTTTAGGGAAATTAGGTATCCTATCCAGTGAGATAAGATACCTAAAACTATGCCCAAGGCATGATTTTAATAGGATTTTTTTCTTTTACTAAGACAGTTTATGTTAATGAAAACATGCACAAATATTCAAAATCTTCAATAATTTTCAATAAGACACCTACCTTGCCTTGGGAACTGTTCAGCTAACTTTCTGAGACTTGTTAAACTGTCAGCACCCAGCTGGCTTAAGATTCCAGGTAGCATTTCTGTGATAGGTTTGGCTTCAGCATGACCAGTAATAGCAAAAGTGTTTGCAGAAAGTGAAGCCTGGACCTTGGGATTGTTGAAATGGATAACTGTTCCGTCATCTTTTATCATATTCACCTGTTTTAAACATATTAATATTGATGCTTCTGAATTAGTACATTACAAAATAAAGTACAGCTGCAATTCCATATCCATGGATACAATTATCAATGTTTGGAAAGTATTTTAAAAAATCAAAAAAGCAAAACCTGATTTACCATTTTGTATATGGGACACCAATTTACTACTTCACAAAACCTGAACATCCACAGTAAGTCCTGGAATCGCCCTCAGCCCCCCATGGATTCCCATGGATCACTGTTGAGGCAGTCCTCAAGTTACAAACATCTTACAAATGACTCATAGTGAAGAACAGGGGTGAGACAACAGGAAGTGAGAGAAACCTCAAGCCCTAGGAAGGGAAACTCACTCCTGAAAGAGTTATCGTGGAGAAAAAGGATACAGAAAATACAGAAATTCATAAGTTAGGACCATCAGGCTTTTACAGAACACTGAGGATTCACATTAAAACACAACTGATACAGCCACTTCAGATGATTTTATATGAGCTATCTTTAACTGTAGCTAAAATCAAGGAGAATACACTACTTCATCTTTATATTTCATATTAGTAAAGGTTTCTCCTGACATTAAGTCTAGTCGTGTCCGACTGGGGGTTGGTGCTCATTTACATTTCTAAGCCGAAGAGCTGGCGTTGTCCGTAGACACCTCTAAGGTCATGTGGTCAGCATGACTGCATGGAGTGTCGTTACCTTCCCACAGTAGCGGTACCTATTGATCTACTCACATTTGCATGTTTTTTACCTGCTAGGTTGGCAGAAGTTGGGGCTAACAGCGGGAGCTCACCCCACTCCCTGGATTAGAACCGCCAACCTTTCAGTCAGCAAGTTCAGCAGCTCAGTGGTTTAACCCACTATGCCACCAGGGGGCCCCATATTTTATATTACTGTACAAAACAAATAAATAAAACTAGAAATTGAGAGTTTTGTGAAATAGCTAGGGAATCCAAACAGAATTTCTCAGTATCTGCTTGACTACAATGGTCAAAATATGCTCTTAAAAGCACGACTCTTAAAACTGATGTCAGATTTGTTTAAATGTTGCAGTTTCAGTGCATTCCTAAATACCAATCTATGTTGTTGTTTCAGCACTATTGCTACCTTATCCAATGCAAGCATCACTTTCTATAAATATTTTTAAAAAGTAGGTGTAAGCTATTTAGAAGAGTCCAAAATATACTGAAACATGTCTCTTTATGTTGCTATCATTTAAAAACATGGGATATGATCAACTACATTTTAGTCCTGAAACTGAGCCTGCATGAATGTAGCAGGTCTATATAGTTTCTAAAGAAGCATGCTTAAAATCAGAGCTCAGCAACAACTTACACCTGAGTTCTTGATAACATAGAAAGTAAATATCCTCTTCTCTTTCTGTCTTCTATCATAAGAGAAGAAAATGAGAAGCTCCCCTTTCTGGTTTCTGACAACCCATAGCTTGCTATAAAGTCAAGATGCTAAAACACTTTAATCCTGGTTCGGCAAAAACAAACAGCTGGGGCAGATAGGGCTGGGGCTGTCTTAAGGACAAATCACTGTTTAGCATACTCTGATAATGCAGCAAATTAAGGTAGGAAGTTTCTAATTTATTTGCATTACACGTGAAGGATAGAGCAAAGGAAAAATGGGAGCACAGGAGCAACAGTACAACTGATTCATTGCAGTAACAAAATATCATGGTTTGACATCATGTCTGAGCTCTTTTTTTTTTGTGATGTTTCCAGCCAGCCTCCACTCCCTATCAATTAGGTCTGGCTTCATCAGTAGAGCTGGCAACTCTTCTAGTGTTGACATCAATTAAGTCTGGTGTTTCACAGAGAGCTGCTGTTAGAGATGGGCTAGCAGACCTAAGATTTTTCTTATCTTGGTTATCTGTTTATGATAGAAAATATTTATAGTGAAGTACCTCTTCGATGCCAGCAATGTTATTTACTGCCAATTTTTTCAACGAACTCTGAAGTTTTTTATCATCTGCTGTGGCTGTTCTGTGGACTACCTTCTTCTTTCTACGAGCTGTACCCTAAGAGACACAATAAAGAAAACATGTTGCTCTTTGATGAAGAAAAACATCTTTATCATATGTAGTAATCATGCCATACTTTAAACATTATACAGGTTGAGTATCCCTTATCTAAAATGCCTGGAACCAGAAATGTTCAAATTTCAGATTTTTTTTCAAATTTTGGAATACTTGCATATATACAACAAGGTATTTTGAAAGTGAGGCCCAAGTCTAAACACAGAATTCATTAACGTTTCGTATAAACTTTATTCACAAAGCCTGAAGGTAATTTTGTACATAGCCTGAAGGTAAATTTTACATAATTTTGTGCATGAAACAAAATTTGTATACACTGAACCATCAAAAGCAAAAGAGGTCACTATCTCTGCCACCCATGTGGAAAATATTGAATTTTGAAGCATTTTAGAATTCCATATAAGGGATCCTCAATCTGTTCTTCAACATTGTAATGTATGGGCAAAATACTATTTCAACAGAAGCCTATTGGTGTATGAAAACTTAAAAGACAAAAGGAATGATACTATTCTCCCATTTGAAAACCCTATCACGACAGGTTTCATGGCAGAGAAAGGAGAAAAACTCAGGGTACATAATTATATACAGTGTTCCCTTGCTACTTCACGGTTCGCTTTTAGCGAACTCACTGTTTTGCGGGTTTTTGAAAATATTTATAAAAAATATTTAATATTAAATATTTATATCCAGTGGAGGCCAGGGATCCCGGAAGTGTGGTGGTCCGAGGCACGGCAGGCAAGGCTTCCTCCCTGGCCTCCACAGACCCCGGAAGTGCAGCGGCCTGAAGAACGGCGGGGAAGGCCTGCCTCCCTGGCCCGCTGCTGCTTGTGTGGCTCCGGAGGCTCTGCAGAGGCCAAGGAGGCAAGCAGGCGCCCTTGGGATGGGCCGGGAGGCAGGTAAGGAAGCGGGGTAAGAAAATAATATATAAAATATATAAAATAATGTATAAATATTAAAATTAATATGGCATCCCTACTTCACAGATGTTCACTTATCACAGGAGGTCCTGGAACGGAACGTCCCCCTGCGATAAGTGAGGGAACACTGTAATAACAGTGGTATTTCTCTGTCTTGGCTAGGCTCCTAGGGCTCATCAATGCAGGCACCTAAATTAGGTCTGCAGCTTTGCTGCTTCAGAGTAGCCCAGGTCTTGCAGAAGTGTTTAAGTATCCCTGTGTTCCAGCAGGGATGATCAGAAGTGTCATGATCATCCCTGCTGGATGGTCACCATTCCAGTGTTTGTTGCCTTGGCAGCGGCAATGAAGCTCCAGAGAGCTCATGGTGCTCTTATTGATGCTCCCAAAGGCACCTGTACAACCTGGGGAAAGGAGAGATAATGCCCCCACTTTCCCCAAGTTATGCTGTCATTTTTGCTGACACCAACAAAGGTGTCTGGCAACTCCCAGGAGCTCTCTGGAGCTCTGTGGCTTTTGCTACAGTGATGAGCCACAGAAAAGGAAACTGTCATCCACTGCTCCATATGAACAGCTGGGCTGGTTCGAATTAAAACCAACTCTGCTATTCATACCAGCCCCAAAGGGCAGAGTTGCTCCAGAGTTGAAGGAAAACTCCAGAGCATTCCTTGACTTCTGTTGACAAAGGGTAAAATTGAGTTAATCTGCTTTATGATATGTTAGAGGCTGAAAGTCCCTAAACGTCATCTGAACATCCAGGATGACTTCTGGCCTGATTCAGGGTATGCGCCCTGTGTAGACAGGTCCCAGTTTCAAGGCTGCACAAATGTATGTTGCTTTTCCTTAGCAGAAAATGAGCCTGAAAATGGATAGTTTGTGTGCCTGGAAGGAATGCCTAACACCCCTGCAAAAAAATTCCAATGTTCTTACATACCATAAGACATACTTGTTTCATTACTATAACATATAACCTTGCCTTAGGGCGAGAGGGATCTGTCGTATTTATCAAGTACAATTGAGCATAAAACAGCCTCATAACAGAAACAATATAGTCATCACTGTCATAGAATATGCATTGGAATGGAAAGCAGTCTAAATAAATGCTCAAAACTCCATAGAGGAAAATATGCAAAATATTTATATGCATACACATTTACAATCTATATTTTCCATACATACATACATACATACATACATACATACATACAATAGTTATAATGGAAACAGACTACTTTTGTATCTACTGTTCATACCTTTCCACCTATTCGGACCTGAGCCTGAAGTTTCGCGAGTTTTTCTTGATTCATCTTGCTTTATCTGAAGAGTAAGGAAACCAGCTATGTTTACAACATGCTCAGATTTCATTTTTAAATGAAATGTTTATTAAAGTCAATTCACCATTTGTTAAGGCTAAATGTGTGCATTTAATGCAACATAGAATATAAACAACCTACAAAATAGATACCATCCCATTCTTGGTCCAGCTTCTGTGGGGGTCTGGAGAAAGGAAATTGAGGGACCTAACTTCGCTCCTAACTGTTTTAAGGAAACCCTCCCCCTGCAATTTCCTTCTTACTGCTGCTTTTGCCTCTGCAGTGCTGTTAAGTGAAGAACTTGCTTTTTCCTACAGGATTAATGCAGTTTGACATCACTTTAACTGCCATGGCTCAATGCTGTGGAATCTTGTGTGCGTCTGGTGAACACTATTAGGCTGAGAAGATTAAAGACTCCTAAACAGAGTGTTTTAAACAGAGGTTGGATGGTCATCTGTCATGGGTGCTTTGAATGCAATCTTCCTGCTTCTTGGTAAGGGGTTTTACTGGTTGGCCCATGAGGTCTCTTCCAACTCTATGATTCTAAACCTACGATACCCATGACTCCATAGCATGGAGACATGGCAATTACAGTGGTATCAAACTATGTTAATTCTACAGTGTAGATGCACCCTAAGACTGAAAAAGTAAACCATGCACATGAGCTGGGATGTGCAAGTTAAATCGGACTCCCCGTCCACACAGTGATCAAACTAAGTACGCAAACCAATTATTTTTTTTGCTCCTCTCAGTTGTTTGTCTTACAGTAACCAAATCTAGCAAGAATTAAATACCAAGATTTGTTTTATAGTAGCCTAATTAACAAGGATTGAGATTTGCTTCTAAACGCGTAGCACAAAATCTTATAGGGACAAGAGCAATAAAGCTACACCAGTCAAATAACAAGTAAAACCCAAAATCTACTTTTGATCAATAATTTATTCACACTGGCATGTAGAGATTAGATACGATTGCTTTTGATTTTTTAGAATTTTATTCTATATCATATCATTCTCAATTCAGGAAAAGTTAAAGATATTTTATTCATATATTAACAATTGTTGCAATGGAATTCCAAATTAATAATCACATTTAAATCTTTGTGGAATTGAGTATTTAAGATGAAAATGACAGTGAAATCTGATTTTACACTTGGCAAGGAAGCAATACAGAGTCTCCAAAATTCAACTATTCTCATGAGCTGAGAAAAGTAAAAGAAATTGTTCTCAGAAGCAAGAAACAATGTCTTTATCAATAACTTGACAAAGATACAACTCTACTACATGATGCATTCAGCTCAGAGAGTATAAAAACATTCAGATTAGAAAGGAGACAAAGACATAATAATAATGGTTATTTCAACCTTGAGAAATAGAATCCTTGTCTCATTTACAGAAGTTTTTGGGAAGAGTAAGAAAAGCCATTTGTAGAAGAAAGTTAACAGCCAGAACAAACTGAGACACAGGGGACCCAAATTCTTTGAGGGAAAAACTCTTTCCCACGTAATTGTATCAATTATCTGAGAAATCTGGCTGCTGATCTAGAAGATGTTGATGAAGTAGTCACATCTTCAGTAACTTTACTACACTACACAAATAGATGTGCTGGGTTTCAAACCTATAAAAAGGACCTGAGAACCATCAATTTGCGTAACATAGGTGCCTAATTTATTTTTAAAAATTGAACTATTTTGATTATGGAAACTCAAATACAATGAAACGTTCGCACTTTTAAAAGGCATGGGAAAATGGGCTCTCCAAAATATAACATTTTATCTTATTTACATAGTGGGTGAAAAGATTCCATATTAGCTGGTTGAGTAATCTATATCCACAATGTCTGGGACCCAAAATGTTCTGTATTTCATATTTTTCAAATTTTGAGTATTTGTATATACACAATGAGATATTTTAAGGTGGGTCCAAAGTCTAAAAATAAAATTCATTTATATGTCATATTACATCCTATAAACAAACCCTGTGGGCAACTGAATACACAGTATTTTAAAATAATTTTATGTGTGAACAATCAAAAACCAAAGGTGTCCCTGTCTCAGCCACTCATGAGGAAAATTCTGGAGTATTTTGGATAAGGGACACTCAATCTGTACCAACTCCTGAAGACTAGAGAAGGGGATTTTTTTTTTTTAAAAAAAAGGTCCTGTGAGGAGTTTAAGGGAGGCTCTCTCAAAGTCAATCCTAAATTCAGTCCTTTGTAGAGGCAAATAAGAAAGAATAATAATACTGTATTTCTTCAGTTCTAAGGCACACTTTTTCCTTATATAAACATCTCTGAAAATGGAATGTGTCCTAGAATCACAGATGTATCTTATGCATTTTTGTTGGTTGTGGTACTGAAACTATGGTGTGTCTTACAATCAGTGGTGTCTTACAACTGAAGAAATATGGTAACAACAACAACAGTTATTATTAGAGGACAAGAAACCAGTTGCCAGCATTATCAATCTCTATGGGAAAATAATTATTATTTTCTTTGTTACTTGTCTCTCCTCAAGGTTGGCATAAGATGCAACCAACAAGAGTAGATTTCTTTTTAAAGAAATACTCAATGTCAACACTGCAGGATGCAGGTTAAAAAAATTGTCATCACCATCACTATTTCCCTTCCCCTTCTCATCCTAATAATAATAGAAAGAGAAGCCAGGTAACAGTATTATCCACTTCTATAGAAAAATAAGCTGCAACTAAGGAGAGTTGGTCTGCGTTTGTCAGAAAATAGTACCCCTCCTCATTCCTTTGTATTCCACCTCAAGTTCTGTGGAGACGCAGATATATAATAACTATTATTATTATTACGAGTACATCTACTCTTCTCAAGTTTAGAGGCAGGATACTACTACTGTTAATAACAATAGAAAGAAAGGATAGCATTATCCCCCTCTATGGAAGAAAAAGGTGCCACCAAGGAAAGGAGGCTTGTGTTTTTATAGAAAGATTTCTCAATGATAAATTCAACCCCTTGCACCTATCATCGAGCAGTAGGTAGACAACAACAATAATAATCCTATCTCTCAAGTCTAGAGGTGTGACACTACTGCTACCAATAATAACAGGAAGAGAGGGCAGGTGGCAGCATTATGCCCCTCTATAGGAAAATAAGGTGCCACCAAGGGAAGGGGGTTGTGTTTTCATAGAAAGATTCCTCAATACTAAATTCAATCCTTTGCACCCCTCCTCAAGCCTTGAGAGGGAGGTAAACAATAATCCCATATCTCAAGGATAAGAAGGCAGGACACTACTGCTACTAATAACAGGAAGAGAGGGTGGGTGACAGCATTATCCCCCTCTATAGAAGAATAAGGTGCCACCAAGGAAAGGGGGCTGTGTTTTTACACATTTTGGATACATTTAATCCCTTGCACACACCCCCTCCCCTTGAGAGGTAGGTAAACGAAACAATAATCCCACATCTCAAGGCTAAGAAGGCGGGACACTCCTACTACTACTAATAAGAAGAGAGGGTGGGTGACAGCATTATCTCCCTCTATGGAAAATAAGGTGCCATCAAGGAAAGGGGGGTTGTGTTTTTACACATTCCTCAATGCTAAATTCAATCCCTCCTCGAGCCCTGAGAGGTAGGTAAACAATAATAATAATAATCCAATCTCTCAATAACAATAATAATAATCCCATCTCTCAAGGCTAGAGGCAGGACACTACTGCTACTAATATTAATACGAAGAGAGAGTGATAGTATTATCCTCTCTCTATGGAAGAATAAGGTGCCATCAAGGAAAGGGGGGGGGGTTGTGTTTTTGCTAAATTCAATCCCCCTTCGAGCCCTGAGAGGTAGGTAAATAATAATAATAATCCCATCTCTCAAGGCCAGAGGCGGTACACTACTGCTACTACTACTAATAATAATAATAACAGGAAGAGAGAGTGACAGTATTATCCCCTCTGTGGAAGAATAAGGTGCCACCAAGGAAAGGGGAGGTTGTGTGTTTTTTTTTTTTTGCTCAAGCCTTGAGAGGCAGGTAAATCACTATTACCATTATTATTACTATTTCTATTGTTATCCCACCACTCCCCAAGGTTGGGAGGAATATAACTACTACTAGTGTAGTACTACTCATACCAGGAAGAGAAGCCAGGGGATAGCATAGCCCCCTCTATAATTCCATCTCTCAGTGCTAGAGGTGGGGCACTACGGCTATTAATAACAGGAAGAGAGGCCAGGTGACAGCGTGACCCCCCTCCATGGAAGTAGAAGGTGCCACCACGAGGAGTGAAATTCTGGTTTCCAATGGCAGCGCTGTTTCTGAGGGAAAGGGCGCGTCGCTTTGGACAGGAGGGGCCTCCCGTGGGTTGTGTTGGGAAGGGAGCGCCAAAGGGCTCCACCAAAGCCAAGCCTGGGGAGAGGAAGGCCCCTGCCCAGAGCGCCATCTCCTCCGAAACAGGGCGCAGGGCCCAGGCGGGATGGGAGGGCCAGGCCCATCCTCCTCCTCCTCCTCCCTTGGCTCTTGGGCCCAKCAGCAGCCCCTCCCACCGTCCGTGGGGCGGCCTCGCCTGTGGGAGGAGAAGCGGGCAGGCAGGGCCACAGCCCGGCCTGCGGAGTGGGGAACGAGCAGGCCCTGAAGGGGGGGGGGACACGAGGGCCGCAGAAAGGTGGGGGGTCAAGCAGGAAGTTTCACCTCAATCCGACGAACCTCCCGCAGGCAACACGCGGCAAGAACAAGATGGCGTCGAGGCGCGCGGGGGAGGGAGGGGGAGGGAGGAAAGGAAGGGGCCCAGAGAAAGGACCACGGGACCGACGCCCCGCCCACCTCCTTCCCGATTGGAAGGGAGCGCGGCAGTATTTGCATAACCCCCTCCCCGACGAGAGGACAATGAATAAAGCGTCGCGCCCCAAGGAGGCGTGGCGGGAAAGCGGTGCATGCTGGGAGTTGCAGTCTTCCTCAAGAAGTCTAAAAGGGACAGGTATGCCCTCGGATAACAGATACTATCGACTATGTATCAAAACGGAGGGGGGTCTGATTGATACACCTCTTGAGTATTCCTTGCCTAGGGAAACCCTATGAAATTCTTGGGGTCGCTATAAACTAAAAGGAGCCTTAAAGGCACTTATATAAATACAAAATTCAATGTTTCAAAAGCATACCACTCTTAAGTACTCTGACCTCAATGCTATGAATTCCCGGGAGTTGTAACTGGTGTGTAACTGATGTAACTTCTTGTTTACAAAGCCCTTGTAAAACTATAACTCTCGTGTTTCTATACTATGTCATCAAGGCAGTTAAAGTAGTGTCAAAACTGCGTTAGTTCTACAGTGTAGATGAAGCTAATATATTAACACCACTCTTAACTCAATGCTATGAAATCCCGGAAGTTATAATTAAGGTGAGGGCCCTTTTAAAACTACAACTCTCATGTTTCCATAGTATATCATCAAGGCAGTTAAAGTAGAGTCAAAACTGAGTTGGTTCTACAGTGTGGATGGAGCTAACATGGATTTCATAAAGAATAGAATATACAAAGAGCATTTAGACCACTTTAAAAAACCTACCCGCTCATTCCGGTTTTTGAAATACCTTCAAGTCGAAATTCCCAACGAGGAGGAATAGTTTTTTCTCATCTAGGTACCTCCAGGACTTTTCTTTTCCTTCCCTCTCTCCCAATTTACCCCGGACTCAAATCCATGCAGCGCCTCCCATATCCGCCTGATAACATCACTTCCTCTATTCTTTTTTTTTTTTAAGGTGAAAGCGGATTGGGATACACCGGGTTCTCTTCCTGGCCGTGTGGATCCTTTTGAAGAGCTCCTTTGGCGTCATGAAGGCCCCTTGGGCTACTTTCTCCTTGTGCTGCCTTTGCCAGCTTCTGGTCGTTGCTTCTGCTGGAGAAGCCCTTGCAAAAGGTAAATATAGTATCCCTCCCCTTTCTTTACATTCTTACCTTCTTTGTTTTTAACCTTTCTATCCTTTTAATAATAATATTACATAATAATAATAACCATAATCCACATCTTGCTCGTATGGATTTTGTTGGAGCATTCAAAATCCACATTTTAATGTGAATTTGTAGTTCTTATTGATTCAACTTTCCCATCTGTTTCGACAAAGTAGGCCATGAGTTGCTCTTAAGCAAGGAAGGGAATTGCAAGCCAACAAAGGGAGGGTGCATTTATCTACACTGTTGAATTAATACAGTTTGATACTGCTTTGGCTCAATGCTATATGGAATCCTGGGATTTGTAGTTTGGTGGAGGCACCAGCTCTCTTGGGTAGAGAAGGCCATGTAAAACTACAACTCTCATGATCCCATCGCCTTGAGCCTGGGTAGTGAAGTGGTGCTAAACTGCATTAATTCTACAGTGTAGCTCAGGCATCAGCAAACTTTGGCCCTCCAGGTGTTTTGGTCTTCAACTCCCACAATTCCTATTATTATTAGCAGGGGACTCATAATAATAATAATAATAATAATAATAATAATAATAATAATAATACACCAGGTGACAGCCGCATTGAGGAAAAACTCAGCCATTTTCAGGACCTCAAAATCAAACTGCAAAGGCTCTGGCATAAACCAGTACAGGTGATCCCAGTGGTGATCGGCACACTGGGTGCCGTGCCAAAAGATCTGAGCTGGCATTTGGAAACAATAAACATTGACAAAATCATGATCTGTCAGCTGCAAAAGGCCACTTTACTTGGATCTATGCGCATCATTCAAAAATACATTACACAGTCCTAGACGCTTGGGAAGTGTTCAACTTGTTATTTTGTGATATGAAATCCAGCATATAGATCTTGTTTGCTGTGACATGCTGTGCTTTTGTATCAGTAAAATAATTATTATAATAAAATTCAATCAAAGCCAGAATTGAAAAATGGATGACAGATTCCAAGTGTAAACTCCGCAAGTAAGCAGACAAAACCATCGATCATATACTCAGCTGCTGTAAGAAGATCACGCAGACGGACTATAAGCAGAGGCATAATACTGTTGCTCAGATGATCCATTGGAACTTGTGCCACAAATACCATCTGCCTGTGACAAAAAACTGGTGGGATCACAAGCCAGAAAAAAAGTTATGCAAAACGATCACATCAAACTACTTTGGGACTTCCGAATTCAGACCGACTGAGTTTTGGAGCACAATACTCCTGACCACACAATCGTGGAAAAAAAGTAGGGATTGTCGATGTTGCTATTCGAGGTGACAGCAAAATTGATGAGAAGCACCTGGAAAAGCTTACACGATATGAGGATTTAAAGATCGAACTGCAACATATGTTGTTGTTGTTCATTCGTTCAGTCGTCTCCGACTCTTCGTGACCTCATGGACCAGCCCACGCCAGAGCTCCCTGTCGGCCGTTACCACCCCCAGCTCCCTCAAGGTCAGTCCAGTCACTTCAAGGATGCCATCCATCCATCTTGCCCTTGGTCGGCCCCTCTTTCCCCAGCATAATTGTCTTCTCTAGGCTTTGCTGCAACGTATAGATGTTTGTAATTTGGCCGCAAAGGTCGTAACTTTTCCGCATAAGGAAGATGTTCCAGACCTTTATTCACCGTGATTGCCCTTTTCTACAGGCGGCAACGAGCAGGGTCTATTGGGGGACATTAAAATATTTGGAGTAATGTTTTTCAAATACTGTGACCAAAGCTGCACACAGTATTCCAAGTGCAATCACAGCATAGGAGAATATGATTTTAGTGGGCTTATTTCCAGTTTATGTTCCAATTTGTATTCCTTGCAGCAGCTGTAGACTGAATTGAAATATTCCTCAAACTGCTTCTAATTGGATGCTGATAGGATTGTACTATTAAAGCTTTCTGTTAACAGGTTTTTACCTGATGTTTAAAACACGGCAATAATGTGCCTGCTCTGAGATTAAGAAAAAAGCAAGAACAAATGTGTGAACCAATCTTCCCAAGGGAACCCTATGATATTGTCGTCTTAAGCTGAAATCAATTTGAAGGTGCAGAACGACAACAGCAGATGTATCTGCAGAGCAACTTCCAAAAAATGTTTTGTGGTAGAATTTCAGTAGTATATTTCTGAAGGGAGGAATAACTTATGGTGCTGGTCATTGACTGTAAATAAATGTATATAACTTATGGTAACATTTCAAGCATTGCTTTCCCCAGAATAACCTAGGCAAACGTCATGTATTCATAGAGGATGTTCTGAGAAATACTATTGGTATTACCATTTGAAATGCTTTTCTTTGCTGTGATCAAATATGATAAAATATTTTATCTGCTGTGATCGCTTTACATTATTATATTCCATTTTCCTGCCAAGGTTTCGGAGATCATATTCACTGGAGGAGTTTGGAAGATGGGAAAAAGGAGGCAGCTGCCAGGTATGTTGTACAATAAGATTGTATTCTTAAGCAGGCACACTTTATGTTGTATAATAATGTTGTGTTGTATTTAACTCCTATGTGTAGCAATAAATCACAATGACTGATTACTATCCCTCTAAAGATACAGGTTTGCAGCTTGGGAGTGATCCTCAACTCATTGCTGAGCCTGGAACCTCAGGTTTCAGTGGTGGCCAGGGGAGCTTTTGCACAATTAAAACTTGTGTGCCCGTACCTTGGGAAGTCAGACTTGGTCACAGTGGTCCACACTCTTGTTACATCCCGAATAGACTACTGCAATACTCTCTATGTGGGGTTGCCTTTGAAGACTATTTGGAATAATAATAATAATCATCATCATCATCATCTTTACTTGTACCCCACCACCATCTCCCCAAAGGGAATCGGGGCGGCTCACAGAAGCTTCAGGTGGTCCAACGAGCAGCAGCCAGATGGCAGCATGCCACTGGAGCTGCATACAAGGGAGCACACAATCCTCCTGTTGTGTCAGCTGCACTGACTGCCAGTCTCCTACTGAGCACAGTTCAAAGTGCTGGCATTAGCCTATAAAGCCCTAAATGGTTCCAGCCCAGCTTACCTTTCTGAACGTAATTCCTTCCTATGAACCACTTTGGAGGCTAAGACCGTCAGGGGAGACCCTACTCTCAGCCCCATCCCCCTTGCAGGCACGATTGGTGAGGATGAGGGACAGGGCCTTCTCAGTGGTGGCCCCTTGGTTATGGAACTCCCCAGTAAAATTAGATTGGCCCCCTCCCTCTGACCTCTGCGAAAAACTAAAAACATGGCTTTTAGACCAAGCTTTTGGTCAGTAAAGAGGAGCAGTGCAATAAGAGACTATAAAATAACATAATGATGACTCAGATCAGACCTGGAATATGTCCTGGATTGTGTGATTTTAATAGATGTTTTAATGTTATGATTAATTGGGACAGATTTTAATGCATTTGTTTATTTATCAGTATGTAACTGTATATGTGGCATTGAATTGTTGCCTATGTAAAGCCTCCCTGAGTCCCCTTCAGGGCGAGAAGAGCCGGATACAAGTATGATAAATAAATAAATATTCAGTCTTATTTGGTAGGTAAATTTAGATTTCCTTCTAGATCTCTGGGTGTTTTAAAGTTTGCAATTGTTTAACAGTTACATGAAATAACTTTCTACTTAAACTAGATTGATAAAATTGATAACCAAGAGTGTGTATGTAAAGACTATGAAACAAGCTCCCTTTTATAATCAGATGAAATTTCCCAACTTTCACAATGTAGTTGTAACTTTTCCATCTTCGTACTAAATAATAGAGGGGAAATGTGTACTAATGGGGTGAGTATATGATTAAGAAAATGTCAGTGCATGTACATAATTATTTAAGGTGTTCAATTACATAGAACATGAAGCTCTTTTCTCTATACCTAGCAAGAACTATCTATTCAGTAATTGTTTAGATAAGTGAAAAATTGTTCCATAAATGTTGGCTTGGGAACAGTGAAATCAGTCAAGTTTTATCTGACCACAATGATAATCTGATTGTCTTCAGTATAATGGCATACAGTTAGATATGAATTGGAATAAGGAGACACATTTGATTGTAAGCAGTTTAAAATTACTGCTTAGATAATATTACAGGCAGTCCCCAGGTTACATACAAGATAGGTTCTGTAAGTTTGTTCCTAGGTTGAATTTGTATGTAAGTCGGAACAGGTACTTTTTAAAGTGTAATTTCAGGCATATACATATGTACGTACATACATATATAAGGTTTGGACAAGTTAGGGAAAGTTTAACACCCCTGTGGTGTGTGTTTTGCTGTCTGTGTCCCTGTTCAGAAGATTTCACTTCACTTTTTGTCCCTGTGATAAAAGGATTTTGAAAACATTGGCTTGTTGTGGAAACAAGGATTGTAGATAAAGCTGCAGTGGAGACACCTTTTTCTTTCTATCTTTCTTTTAGTGGGTTGCCTCTCATGGTCATCATTCACAAATCCTGGTGTGGTGCTTGCAAGGGTGAGATAAATTAATTATTCTTGGTATCACTTCAAAATCCGTCACTTGATAACTATCAGTAAAAGATATAATTTTACAGTTAATATAAAATTATATGTATGGCATTCATGAAAATATCAATTATTATTATAGATACAAAATAGTTACCACAGGTAAAGATAGTTGCATGCCATGCTAATGAATAAACTCTCTTTGGTCACCAGTGGGAAAATCTAGTTCATTTCAATCATATATTTTTAGTTTAAGATTTATTTTGACTTTGTTTTTCACAAAACTAGAAGAAAGGATCAGGAAAAGTTGACATTATTTTCCCTTTTGTTTGTATAGCATCTGCTTTGTTCATTTTTATGATATAAGACTGAACATGAACTTGTTTTTAAAAAGTAATAAGAGGGAAATTATCAAATCTAGGAAAATATTAATCAATAAAAAGATTTCCCACTGAAATATGTGGGACAATGTAGGTATTTACTAAACTGTTCCCAGGTAGTTTCAAGGCCCTTCCACACAGCCCTATATCCCAGAATATCAAGACAGGACATCTCACATTATCTGAGTGTGGACTCAAATAATCCAATTCAAAGCAGATCTTGTGGGATTTTTTGCCTTGATATTCTGGGATATAGGGCTATGTGGAAGGGCCCTCAGTGAGACTGACAATACATCCCTATAAAAAAAGCCCCTAAATTATCTTCTACACTGCCAGATAATCCAGAATATCAAGGTAGATATTATCTGAGTCTACACTGCCATATAATCCTGTTCAAAGCAGATAATGTGGATTTTATGCAGCAGTGTAGAACGGCCCTTAGACTTACTTTCATGTAAGTGTGTCCAGGCTTGCAATTGGTGTGTTTAGAAGAAATGCTGTGCTTTGGAAAAACGTATGCCAAAAATTGTGACCTTCATCCAGATTAAGATCATTGCATTTACAACTTAGTTCCGCTTATGCTATTAGTGTGCTTACTACTAGGAAAGTGTTCACTTGATTTGATATTCACCTTGAAATCATTGGGATTTAAGTAAATTATTACCAATATTCTATATTAATTTCAGTGGGATCTAATTTAACAGATCTAAATGTTTAAAACATGTGCTTGGCCCTTGTTTGTTCTCCTGCCTAATTTAATATTTGGTTTTTATATTTCCTCAGCTTTGAAACCAAAGTTTGCGGACTCAAAGGAAATCTCAGAGCTTGCCCATAATTTTGTGATGGTGAACCTTGAGGTGAGTCTCAGTTAACTATCATGTGATACAGAATTGGAGAATTCCTACCCCATCACCTTGTGATCTTTAACATAGTTTGACTGCAATCTAATATGTTCTCAGCAAGTGCAAATATTCATTTGGTAATATGGAAAATATAGCTGAAAAACAGAGTGCTTCTGGGTAATCTTTTTTCCAAAAATAATTGAATTAAAGCCCTTCCTTTTTGACATAACAGTGCATTATTGTGCATCTGGAAGTGGCTGTGGTGGTGCAGCAGGTTAAACTGCAGAACTTGCTGACTGGAAGGTTGGCGGTTCGAATCCGGGGAGCAGGGTGAGCGCCCACTGGTAGCCCCAGCTTCTGCCAATATAGCAGTTTGAAAACATGCAGATGTGAGTAGATCAATAGATACCGCTCCAACAGGAAAGTAACAGTGCTCCTTGCAGTCATGCTGGCCACATGACTTTGGAGGCGTCTATGGAAAACACCAGCTCTTTGGCTTAGAAATAGAGATGAACACCACCCCCCAGAGTCGGACACAACTAGACTTAATTTCAAGGGAAAACCTTTACCGTTACCTATCTGGAAGTATTAGTAGTGTTGTTTCATTTTATTTCTCTTGCAGGATGAAGATGAACCTAAGGATGAAGCTTTTAGCCCTGATGGTGGTTACATTCCTAGAATCCTTTTCTTGGGTGAGTGAGGCACTGCATTTAACCAATGTCCCACTAGCAAAATGGGACTCTTCCCCCACTTGGTAGTTCTTCATGGGATCAAAAAATCTGGAAGTGCAGGTGTTGAATGCCCCTGTTCTTGTTTTGCTGATAAGAGCTATGCATTAGCAGATTTATGCAACTCAGTCCATAAACGTTTTATTTATTCTATATTTATTCCTAGATCCCAGTGGGAAAGTGCATCCAGAGATCATAAATGAAAAAGGAAATCCTAGCTACAAGTATTTTTATACCAATGCTGAACAAGGTATGTGTAAATTATATTTAAATACATTTTTGATAAAGTAACCATGGCCATGACAGCTTTGTAGCAATTTGTATTTTACTTTGGGATTTTTCCCCAAGCTATAGATATAATAATTTTAATGTAGGGATTACCTGAGGCCTGGAAATTATTTCAGGGATTCACCCAGGATTAAAAAAAAGGGGTTAAATAATGAACTCAGTGGCACTAGTAGTCTACAGTGTCATCCATTTGGTTGTTGACTCCCTCCAAAGTGATCTCAAAGATGCATTCAAACATCAGACGTCCCTTTGTTGGTTTCTGAGTATATAATAGCATCTCAGAAGAAGAGACTGAAACTGCAAAAAAGATAAAACTCAAAAGAGATCTAGAAACCCCAAGCACTCACAATCAGAAAATCCCCATAATTATTTTTATTTTTTTATTTATTATTATTATTATTATTATTATTATTTTATTTAAAAAAATAAAAAAATAATAAAAAAAAGAAAATCCCACATAATTATTTTGTCTTCTCCCACATAAAACTAATTTACTACACGCTAGCTGCAGGAAAAGCTGTTGATCAGAGGGTTAACAGTTCGAAGCCGCGAGTTGGGGTGAACTCCTCACTGTTAGCCCTACTTTCTGTCAATCTAGTAGTTCAAAAGCATACAATGCAAGTAAATCATTAGGTACCACCTTGGCGGGAAGGTAAAAGGGTGCCACATGTAGATATGCCAGCAAAAAGGTCGGAGAAGTCTGTAGACAACAGGACATGGAAAATGGAACGAGCACCTCCCCATGGCCAGAGTTGAGCATCACCTCCAGATGCCGAAAATGAAAAGGAGAAGGCCTTTACCTTATCTGTGTATTGTATTCTGTTGTTTGTTGTGTAAAAAGGCATTTAATATTTGCCTTATATGTGTACTGTAATCCGCTCGGAGTCCCTCCGAGGGAGATAAAGCAGAATATGAATAAAGTTGGTTGCTGTGAGTTTTCCAGGCTGTATGGCCATGTTCCAGAAGCATTCTCTTCTGACGTTTCACCCATGTCTATGGCAGGCATCCTCATAGTTTGAGGAGCATTCAACCTCTGAGGATGTCTGCCATAGATGTGGACAAAAAGTCAGGGGAGAATGCTTCTGGAATATAGCCATACAGCCCGGAAAACTCAAAGCAATCCAGTGATTCTGGCCATGAAAACCTTCGACAACACATAAATAAATGAAGTCCATAAATAAAGTTTATTATTAGTAGTATTATTATCACTGAATCTAGATCACAAATTCTCTCATATTGACAAATGCTCTTTGCTTAAAGACTGGTAAGGGCAGGCACTGGAATCAGAGAAGCAAAAAAAAAATGTGCGGGAAAATAAATCAAAAGGAAAACAACCCTGGCATATTTGCCAATAATATATACAAAAATTACCTTGTATATGGACTTTCTCAGTAATTTGTGAAACTTAGTTATGTTACTGTTATATGAACATTTTGAAATTCCGTTTATGCTTCTGTTTTTCAGTCATCCAGGGTATGAAAGAAGCCCAAGAGAAGCTGACAGGTGATGCTTTCAAGCAAAAACATCTTGGAGATGAATTGTAATGAAGCCAAGACGTGTTTTATATAGGCTCAGATTCCAAAATGATACAATTTTATCTTCTCCAGAACTTAGAAATGTTACCTTTTCATTATAATTCTCTTGGCTACCATCAATACTGCCCATGTTTGTTTGGCAGTTTGGGGAATTTGTGGTATTAAGAGTAACCTTTTAAAGCTCTGATCTTCCCTATATTTTTCCAGATAAGGAATTGTAGCTGCACTGAAAAAAAAAAACATTTTTCCTACTGACTACTTACTAGATCAAATACTATCTAATTTTCACACAATGGAATTAAATGAAACATTATTTCTTCTTGTTTACATTACAATGCATATTTATAAGAGAAATAATGCTTAGGGTAAATTAACTGCTTCAACATTAGCCACGTGGCAAATCTACATTGCAGTGGTAGCTAACTCTTCCCTAAAGAGTGCATTTTATATGTTAGGAAAAGGCTGGTATCTACTTTATAACGTTAGTCGGATACAATTATTTCTTCTATTATCTAGAATAATGATATTTAGGATTGCGATCAATAATCTGGTTTTTACTTCAATATGAACTACATCAGAGATAGGCAACCTCATCAGAGGTAGGCAGCCTCATCATTCCTGACACTAGATCTTGTTGAGCGGATCTGGTGAAAGTTGTATTTCAAAGCATATGGAGGCTTTCAGGTTGCCTAACTCTAGGTGAGCACCATGTGCTTAGGCCTCAGAAAGCCAAATATGCTGAACCAGTATTTCTCAAACTCTGCTCCTCCAGGTGTTTTGGACTTCAGCTCCCATAAATCCCAGCTGTTAGGAATTGTGGGAGCTGAAGTCCATAACATCTGGCGAGCACAGTTTGAGCAACTTTCTGCTGAACTGATTCTCTCTACCATGAATGCTAAGTAGTCTTACTTTCCTATTTGCTGAAGACACAGCATGAAGAATATTGAGTCATTGTCTTCCTTTTTGGTTGCAATTAGACAGAAATACTGCTTTTCCCATTTGTGCATTTGTTTTCTTCAGGTCTGTTATTAATGAAAGAAAACATACTGAAGTATTTTGTGTGAAAAATCTCTCATTCGCTGAATGTTATTGGTGGATGCCTTGTTTCATCATATTGTACTGTATTTTTGTACCAGGGTAACAATAAAAATGATTTTTAATTTGTACGTTCAATTTGAGAGAAGATGAGTGCGCCTTTTCCTCCTCGTTTTCAGCTCTTGATTTCTTGATGTGGAAGTTGTGGCGTTATTCTCCCCTACATCTATGCTGATACACCTTGATATATATTGGGTTTAAAATGCCATTATATTCAATGGCTGTCAATAGTTCTATCTTAAACAACCACTTCTTTAGCAATTTTCTTTTTACTGCGAATAGGTCTAACAACGTAGCTATTGTCGTCAAAATGAAATGACTCCTACTGGTCATTGATGTTTTATATTAAGTAACAATTGTGCAATCGGCCTTTTGTAATAAGAGTACCAGACTTACTATATGCAAAAGAAGAAAAGGTATTGACTAGCCACAGTGGTTCAAGATCAGGCATGGGCAAACTTTGGCCCTCCAGGTGTTTTGGACAGATAATGCTAGGAGTAGTTTATCTAGAATAGGCATGGGCAAACTTTGGCCCTCCAGGTGTTTTGGACTTCAACTCCCACAATTCCTAACAGTTACATTTATTATTTTACTCTATTATTACATTTATTGTTTTACTCTTTACTGTTATTACATTTACATTATTTTACTCTATTATTATTATTATTATTATTATTATTATTATTATTATTATTATTATATTTATTATTTTACTCTTTATTATTATTATTACAGTTATTTTAATTTATTATTATTGTTATTAAATGTATGATTTTACTCTATTATTGGAAAGATACATAAGTACATTTACATTGAAGAAGGTCTGAATAATGGTTTAATAAGAGTTGGACTGTCTTATCTTAAATTACAGTTTTATGTAAATATTCAAAAACATTTAACCTACTGATGCTTCAATTAATGTAATTGTATAGGTATCTATTTTTATTTTGAAATTTACCAGTATCTGCTGCATTTTCCACCCTCAGCTTATACTCAAGTCAATACATTTCCCCAGTTTTTTTGTGGTAAAATTAGATGCCTCAACTTATATTCGGGTCAAAAGTTTGGCAAAATTACAGTTTGGAGCACAAAGATAAAGTTTTCAGTTCATGTCCTGCTATTATCCCTTTTAATGTCTTAAAAGTCTAGTGAGAAATAAATTGTCTGAGTCTTATTAGATTCAGTGATACTCTTACTCCCGGTAAGAAGGATGGGGTCGTTCCACATATTTTTGAGAAGATCATTTTTCTAATCAGATTCTTAGGTGTCTTCCACACAGCTGTATAACTGTATGAACTGGATTATATGGCAGTGTGGACTCAGATAATCCTGTTTAAAGACAATATTGTTGATTATCTGCCTTGATATTCTGGGTTATATGGCTGTGTGGAAGGACCCTTAAATCTTCCCTATATATTCCAGCTTTGTATACTTCATCCAGTGCAGATTTTAGAGTCAGGATTCATTCATAATTCAAAATGAAAGAGTGCAATTACTGTTATATTTCATTAGCCTCACAATATAGAAGAACATTTTTTTTAGTTAAAATACATACAGAGAAAAAAAGTAGATATGCGATATTTTAAACTAAAGATGACATGAATTTAAATTGAGAACTGCTTTTCCGCTGACATGTGCAGACCACATTTCCTGATGAGGAATGGACTAAGTCGCTCTTTTAATATTTTGGTGATGTTGCCTTGCCTTGTCTAATTTGTGGCAGCATTTCTTTAAATTGGCGTCTCTTTATATTTTGCTGCTTGATACTTTTTAAACGATATGTCAACTGACTGGCAGCATTGTTGCAATCGTTATGGGAATCGGAGTGGTTGCACGAGAGCTAATCTTTGAGCACTTGCTGAAAAAACCACAAGAGGAAGTGAATTCCAAAAGTGTTGTGTCCCTGCCTATCGCCAAACTACTTACCATTAACAGATTTAACACCAGAGCCTCTAAGGCCCCCTCCCACACAGCTGAATAAAATCCCACATTATCTGCTTTGAACTGGGATATATGGCAGTGTGGACTCAGATAACCTGGTTCAAAGAAGTTGTTGTGGGATTTTCTACCTTGATATTCTAGGTTACAGGGCTGTGTGGAAGGGCCCTAAGACTGACTTGGAGCTTAGCAAGACCATATGAATGTAAATTTCTTTAACTTCAGGTGTGTGTGTCTTCAAATTGCCTGTGCTCTTATGGCTATCCTATTAATTCTGTAGGATTTTCTTGAAGGTTATTGCCAACACTATTAAACATCCTGGATGTAACTGGTAATAAACTGGTATGGGAATATAACATTGCCTGTCCCTATCTGTAAGGTAAAGGTTTCCCCTGAAATTAAGTCTAGTCATATCCAACTCTGGGTGGTAATTCTCATCTCCATTCTCAAGACGAAGAGCCGGCGTTTTCCATAGACACCTCCTAGGTCATGTGGCCAGCATGACTACATGACTTACCTTCCTGCAGAAGCTGTACCTATTGATCTACTCATATTTGCATGTTTTTGAACTGCTGGGTTGGCAGAAGCTGGGCCTAACAGCAGGACCTCTCCCCAGATCCGAACCACCAACCTTTTGGTCAGCAAGTTCAGCAGCTCAGTGGTTTAACCCGCTGCGCCACCAAGGGGCCCATCTAAATTCGTTATAGATGCTAATTTCTGCATCTACTGCCACCGAATTATTATCAAGTTTTTAAAATAATGTATCTTTTAGCTTATGTTATTTAATAACCTACTGTAGCAATTTAATTCATGTTTATGCTGGAAGAAAATATCAAGAGATAGAGGGATTGCTGTGAAAAATGTCAAAAGTTTGCTTAAAAACAAGCTCCCCTAGCCCCATTAATTCAGTGTGAAAAGCTTTTGTTACTTAAAGCACACAAAAAGCAAAGTCTTCGTCCGCAAGGAGGAAAAGTGTTCACATTCTACAGCTGGGCAATATTTTTATTAAGACCCACCCAAATCTTTCAGATGTTTTGTAACAGTTTGTTGGTTCTGACAATGTTTCCTACTGTAGATTTAAACATACTTGTATTTTAAAAAATATTCTCCAATTGCCACCAGATGGTGTTGTTTGCCTTGTTTCTTGAAGCTGCAGGATTATAGTTTAAGGAGCAAATCATAATGGAGGACCTTCTCACAGTGACACCAGGGACATTCCAAGTTGCCAGCTTCTAGTCAAAGGGCATTTAGCATAATGTTGAGTTTTAACTTTGTGTTTTCAAATACATTATAACTGCACCCTCAATTTGCTTCTGACACAATAAATAAATAAATTTCCCAGAGTAGGAAATGCATCACTTCAAGTACTGTGGAACAAGTGCTTCCATCATTCTTGACTATTGACCAGTCTGATTTGGCATGATGTCAACTGGAATTAAAAGCCAACATCTGAAGTGCCCCCACTTCCTCACAAAAAGATGGAAAACAAGGTGAGCCTCAAGTTCACCTCATATGACTTGCTATATAATGCAATTTGAAACTGCATTATATGATCAATGTAGGCATTGAATTGCATTATATGAGTCTACATTGATTATATAATGCAGTTTCAAATTGCATTCTATAGCAGTGTAGATGGGGGTCATTGTAAAAGTCTCTGACATTGAAGATCCTTTATACATAAGCTTTTATGCTCACTCAGGTGACACTCTTTTCTTTCTCATTCTTTTCATAGAAGTTGTTTAGCATCATTGGTGAAGGAGGAATGGAAAAATACAGACTTGGTGATGGGTAACAGCAGTGTTTGTAGTAAACAACGCAATAAATTAAATTTGACCTGGGAAAGAATGGGGTGCTACTCTAGATGCAATTGTCTCCATGTGTGCCTACCTACAACAGGCAATGTAAACAGCAGCTGCTTTCAGATTTCCTTACTAAACATGCATTAAAAAGAAAATAGGAGAAGAAAAAGGGAAGCACATATGTCTGCCTCACAACTCAGAAATCTTTGGCCACCAAAATGGAAATCATAATACTGGCTGTTGGTGAAAGAAAAGATCTTACCTGTCCTGGCTGTTTCAGTGTAGTTCTGAACAAAAATATTTCTGAAAAATTTTGAGCTTATTTTATTTTATTTTATTTGTGGTCTAAGAACATATCCTTTCCAAGTTGTTTCTGGCTCTGTTACAAAATTATCTCTTACAGAAATAATGCCCAGGAAAAAAAATAATTAAGATAAGAATATAGATTGCAGGAGCAGGCAAAAAAAAAACAACAAAAAAAAAACAACAATAGAGACCTCAAAGCAAAGGCATACATTCCAGTTAGCACTCAGGCTGTTCTACATTTAGTCATAAGATTCAAATGTTCAGCTTCGTTTTATTCTTATTCTCAACCTTGTAACGACTTGTTCTGAACTCTTCACCACTTTCTATTTACTGGAGAGAACACAGTTAGTTGAGTAGAACTTTGTAGACATTGAGGTACATTTAGATCAGTGGTTCCCAACATGTGGTCCATGAACCACTAGTGGTCCGCAGCCTCACCATTACTACATCATTGCAACGAGAGTGACTGGTCTCACGAAACCCTTTTATAGTGCCAAGGCTTATCAAATATAGTTTTCTATGGGTGAACAGATGGCAACTACTGGATGACATACATTTTGTATCAGAAACAAGAGCTGATGTGGTCTATCCAAAACAATTTTCTGAATCAGCACCCCAAATAAGCAAACCAAATCGAAAGTTGACTAAAAACTGATTTGTAACCCTTTTGGTACTAATGTTGGAGAGTGGTCCCTGGTCAATGTGGTCCTTGATCAAAAAAAGGTTGGGAGCAGTGATTTAGACAGTTAAATTACTCTGCTCCCATCCAAAGTTCATGGCAAATACACTAGGAAATTAGAACAAGCAAGATCCTATGTAATCTTCATTAATATCCACAAGACTGACTCCAGTAGGCTGTGTCAATTTAGACAATCTGTTGCTGAGTTCCATATGATGAAGTTCAACATACTGTTCATTGTCAATGTAATATTCCCAAAGTGAGTGGGATGTTTGTTTATTTTATTAGACTCATTAAAAAGCAAGAGTTGCATCTATCGGGCACTCAGTGGAACACACAAGGTAAACATCATAACTTCACAATATGCAGAAGAAGGAAATCCATTCAATAAAATTTACGGACAGCATCACTGGGGGGAACTTTAAGCACAAGCAACTCGATAGAAAAAGACAAGTCTTTGTGTGTATATGCACCTTCAAATTGCCTGTCAAGTACATTAATTTCATAGTGTTTTCTTTGGGAAGAAACACTCGAAAGATGGTTTTGCCAGTTCCCTCTTCTGAAATATATCCTACAGTACCTGGAATTCATCGATGATCTCCCATCCAAGTGCTAACCAGGGATCACTCTGCTTACCTTCCAAGATCAGATGGTATTTGGTTCCTTTAGACCAGGCATGGACAAATTTTGGCCCTCCAGGTGTTTTGGACTTGTGGGAGTTGAAGTCCAAAACACCTGGAGAGCCAAAGTTTGTCCATGCCTGCTTTAGACAGTCTTCACTGTCCTTTTATATCAGAGCAAGGGAAAAACTACTCTCACTTGGCTTGGAGATGGACAGCCTAAACCGAGGAGTAGGCCATGGGTGACTGAGTGTTTATCTCCACTTCACAATTCAGTTTAACATCTACATGAAGCCATTGGGAGAGATCATCCAGTGTCTTCGAGTTCGTTCCATTTGTATACAGATGACGTACAACTCTATCACTCCTTTCCACCTGCTACTAAGGAGGCTGTTCAGGTCCTGAGCTTGTTCTTGGCAGCTGTGATGGTTTGGATGAGGGCAAGCAAATTGAAATTGAATCCAGACAAGACAGAGGTAGTCCTGGTCAGCTGTATGGTTGAACAGGGTATAAGGTTACAGCCCCCTGAAGATGCAGGTTCGCAGCTTGGGAGTGATTCTGGACTCACCGCTGAGCCTGGAACCCCAGGTTTCGGTGGTGGCCAGGGGAGCTTTTGCACAATTAAAACTTCTGCCCCAGTTGTGTCTGTACCTTGGGAAGTCAGACTTGGCCATGGTAGTTCATGCTCTGGTTACATCCCGAATAGATTACTGCAATGTGTCTTGTGTGGGGTTGCCTTTCAAGACTGTTCGGAAGCTTCAAGTAGTCCAACAGGCGGTAGCCAGAATTGCTCACTGGAGCGAAATACAGGGAGCACACAACCCCCTTGTTGTATCATCTCCACTGGCTGCCAGTTTGCTATCGAGCACAATTCAAAGTACCGGCTTTAGCCTACAAGACCCTAAATGGTTCTGGCCCAATTTACCTGTCTGAATGGCTCTCCCCTATGAACCATCTCAGAATTTAAGAACAAGAGTTTAAGTTTAAGGTGCGACTGGCGGGGATGAGAGTCAGGGTCTTCTCAGTGGTGGCCCCTCAGCTGTGGAATTCCCTCCCCAGGGATACTAGATCAGCCCCCTTCCTCCTGACCTTCTGTAAAAGTGTGAAAATGTGGCTTTATGATCAAGCCTTTGTAATAGATAGATATGGAATTATGAGCTACGACTATTGGAACGGCCTGGGTTACGATTGTGCATAGTGTGGTTAATGGTGAAGTTATTGTTTTAAACATTTTCATATGTTTTAATGCATTTTATAATTCTACTAGCTGTCCCCTGCCACATGTTGCTGTGGCCCCGTCTGTGTATATGTGTTTTGTGTGTATATGTGTGTGTGTATTTGTGTATATGTGTGTGTTTGCGTATATATGCAGTCTTGTGCATGCGTTGTAATGTATTTTTTATTTTTTGGCTTTTTAAGTCTCTTCTGCTATGTTTTTCAGTGTTTTTATGAGTGATGGTCACTCATTGGCCTGATAGGTGTATTGTATCCAAATTTGGTGTCAATTCATCCAGTGGTTTTTGAGTTATGTCAATCCCACAAACTAACATTACATGTTTATTTATATAGATTTTAAAATATCTATTATGATTGTATATTGCTTCAAGGCATCAAATCGTTGCCTAGGTGTAAAGCCGCCTTGAGTCCCTTCCAGGGTTGAGAGAGGCAGAATTTCTATTTGCTTCACCAAACTACAACTCCCATGTCCTGTAGCATTGTGCCTGGCCATTAAAGTGGTGTCAAACCGCACTCGATTTCAAGGGTTTCAACGGCTTATTTTTAATAGTTTGATACTTAATCCTGTTAGGAATGGTGGGAGTTGAAGTCCAAAACACCTGGAAGGCTGAAGTTTGCCCATGCCTGGCTTAGATGCATACTGCAACCCCCAGGATTCCATAACATGGCAGCTAAAGTGGTGTCAAACTGCGTTGACTGTGCAGTGTGGATGCACCCTGAGGTTCATTCTGTCCCTCGCCTCTCTCTAAAAAGCCACGCGGGATTCTTCCCCGGGAGAAGAAGAGGAGGGGAGGCGGTGGCGGCAGGAAAAGCTCCGCCTGGAAGGTGGTCTTTCTTCCTTCCTCCCTTCCTTCCTTCTGCGGTCCAGGGCGGAGAGAGGCTTGGCTGGGCGGGCGGGTGGCTGAGGTCCGGGCAGCTCTTCTTCCTCTGGAGGTCCAGGCAGAAAGGCTTGACTCTCCATCCCAGCTGAGCTGCCTCTCCCTCGGACTCCCTCCCTGCTTCAACCTTCCTTCTTTTCTTTGCTCGAGACATCACAACTCCTTCACCTGCGCTCCAGGTAAGAGGCGGAGGGCTGCTCTCCATCCATCCTTCCTTGGGTCCCAAGGGGAAGCGTAGGGTTGCCCCATTGCTCCCATCCTCATCTTCTCCAAGGCAGATAGACCTCTCAAAGGGGCATCTACACTGTTCAGTTTGACCCCACTTTCACTGCCATGGCTCAATGCGAGGGAAGCCTGGGGTATCTGTCGCCCTCTCTGTCAATAAGTTCTGGTGTCTCATCAAACTACAACTCCCATTATGCCATGTCAGCTAAAGTGGTGTCAAACTCCATTCTTCTACAGTGTAGATCAGGCATGGGCAAACTTGGGCTCTCCAGGTGTTTTGGACTACAACTCCCACCATCCCTAACAGCCGGAATGGTGGGAGTTGAAGTCCAAAACACCTGGAGGGGCCAAGTTTGCCCATGCCGGTAGGCTGTTAGAAATGGTGGGAGTTGAAGTCCAAAACACCTGGAGGGCCCAAGTTTGCCCATGCCTGGTGTAGATTTACCTTCCACACAGCCCTGTATCCCAGAATACCAAGGCAGAAAATCCCACATTATCTGAGTGTGGACTCAGATAATGTGGCCCTTCCACACAAAATACCCAATATGCCCAAATTTGAATACTGGTTGGGTTGGGGGGGGGGGGGTTGATTTTGTAATTTGAGAGTTGTAGTTGCTGGGATGGAATTGAACCAAACTTGGCACACAGAACTCCCATGACCAACAGAAAATATTGGAAGGGTTTGGTGGGCATTGACCTTGAGTTTTGGAGTTGTAGTTCTCCATCCAGAGAGCACTGTGGACTCAAACAATGATGTATCTGGACTAAACTTGGCACAAATACTCAATATGCCCAAATGTGAACACTGGTGGAGTTTGGGGAAAATAGACCTTGATATTTGGGAGTTGTGGTTGCTGGGATGTATAGTTCACCTACAATCAAAGAACATTCTGAACCTCACCAACAATAGAATTGGGCCAAAATTCCCACACAGAACCCCCATGACCAACAGAAAATACTGTGTTTTCTAATGGTCTTTGCCAACCCCTCTGACACCCCCTTGCGACCCCCCAGGGGTCTTAACCCCAAGCTGGGAAACACTGGTGTAGATGTACACCCTGCTCCTTGTCGGCAAGGAATTAAGGAAGCAAGCCATCTAAAGCCCTGGTCTTTCAGGGCGCTTCAATTTAGCCCTGGTATCTGTATTCACTATTAAGATATTGAACTTAATAAGCATTTCTCTGAACATATGAAGAGTGGCTGTCACCACAGCCAGTGGTCTCTCCCTCAATTATTTTGAGGAATATTTACTGTAGAATTAGTGTTGTTTTGACACCACTGTAACTGGACAAAAGTCCTGGATCCTCCAAAGCAGGCATGGGCAAACTTCGGCCCTCTGGGTGTTTTGGACTTCAACTCCCACAATTCCTAACAGCCTACCAGCTGTTAGGAATTGTGGGAGTTGAAGTCCAAAACACCCAGAGGGCCGAAGTTTGCCCATGTCTGCCCTAAAGGTACCTGCAATCCTCTCCTTCGGGAGAGATAAAGCGGTATATAAATAAATAAAAAACAATGATAATAGGGAAGGGGGATTGCATTCAGGTTGGGAGATATTTACGCCAGCTTGGCTGCTGGGATCCTTTGGAAACCGAAGCTGATGAAAATGAATGGGGAATATTATCAATAAGTAGCAACGTCAAGCTTTCCCTTGGTTTAAAAGCCCACAACAATCAATGGAGAATTAAAGAGGTGACGCTAGGTCTTTCATATCATCTTTTGACATTTTTTTGCTTTGTTCAGAATAAGCTATTTTTGCAAAAGTGGGCCAGATTCAAAAATAAAGCTGTCATTTAAGGGGACAGGGATTGTCTGCTTTTGAAGGGAAGGATTGTGCTTGTAAACCGTAGTTTGCCATTTCCAGTGTCTTCTGTGACCTTTCAGATAATCTCGCTCTACTGAGTAAGTCAGACATAATAAATCAAGTTTTACGTTTTGAAATATTGTTCTGATGTGCAAAGCTGTTGTATCCCTATGCAGTAATGCTTTGGTATTTGTGCCTCTGCTACAAATAAAGATATTTGCTAGTTCTTTCTTGGGCCCTTTCCACACAGCTGAATAAAATACCACATTATCTGCTTTGAATTGAGTTATATGGCAGTGTGGACTCAGATAACCTAGTTCAAAGCAGATATTGTGGGATTTCATGTCTTGATATTCTGGGTAATATGGCTGTGTGGAAGGGCCCTTAGTGAATTTGTGAATCACCCATTAAAAAACACACCTCAACAAATCAATACATTTGAAACCCCAGAGTTTAGTTTTCGTTATTGTTTTGAATGTATTGCAAAACCTCATTTTGCAGTACACTGAAACAGCAGTTCCTGCCTCTTTTTGTAAATATAAGTACTATGTGTTATTTACTGTGTGTGCAATGCTAGTAAAGTCTGATTTGAAAGCCAATTAGTTCAGTTAGGCAATTCTTCATAGCCCAAAGATGATGGTTCTCCAAGTGTAATGTTGTGGCGGGTGAGTTCATAGGTGGCTATGGAGCCCTATTCTTGATCCGCATATTCTCCTGCAGTGAGGACATCAGTTTCCAGGTGGAAGGTGGTCCCAGTCAGGGTTGACTTGATGCGCCTTCCTTTTGGTACATTTCTCCCTTTCATCCTCCATTCGTGCCTCTTTAGATTCTGCAGCACTGCTGGTCACAGCTGACCTCCAGTTATTTGAAAACATAATAGGGTGAATTATATTAATGCAAATTTAATATTGTTGAGCTTTCTTCCTTATAAGTACATATATAGCAAGTGAAAGATTCCTAGATTGGTTAGACTGTAACTTTCATCATTCCCAGTCAGCAAAGCCAATGGGCATTATAATGCAATGCATTGAGGGAGGCTACAGATTGTAGAAACTGCCAGAACAGGCATGGGCAAACTTGGGCCCTCCAGGTGTTTTGGACCTCAACTTCCACAATTCCTAACAGCCGGTAGGCTGTTAGGAATTGTGGGAGTTTGGGTACAAAACACCTGAAGGGCCCAAGTTTGCCCATACCTGGGCTAGACTGTTGTGAGTTTGAGATAGTATGTGTTTGTGAGGATGCATCTACACTGGAGAACTGATGCAGTTTGACCCCACTTTAACTGTTTTTGCTAAATGCTATGGAATGATGGGATTTGTAGTTTTACAGGGCCTCTAGCATTCTCTGCCAAAGAGCACTCGTGCCTCACTCAGCTACAAAAATCCCATGGTTTCATAGCATTGAACCATAGCAATGAAACTTGTGTCACACTGCATTAATTCTACAATGTAGATGTGCCCTGAGTGAACATAAACTGGATAGTAAAGCTGTTGTGTTTTAAAACAAAGAGCATCCGTATAAAATGTATTCACGCTGATGGGAAGAGGCTTGGCTCAAAAATGAAGAGCAAAAGACTGTAGCAAGAAAATCCAGAACAAGATTAAGAGCAGATCATAAGGATCAGAGTATTATGTAAATGAGGCAAATCTGTTAATATTGCAGGCTAAGTAATAATCTATGTGTCTGTGACTGTGATGGAATTTGGAATTGCTTGTTAGAGGTTGGGATAATAATGAAAGGAAAGGAAAAGAAAGCATTGGGCAATTGAGCTTTTATGCATCATAGGTACAGAGGAAAATGAATTTGGAGATATTTGACATGGAAGTGGGCATGAACCTCAATAAAGTAACAATTGGTTTCCACATGAGCTTTTGTGAGCATCAACCTATATCTTCAAATGCACTAATTCATAGCGTTACAACCTCAGTGTTAAATTTAAAAAAATATTAGAGTATGTTACAGATAGGTCAGGATGCATCTACACTATAGAATTAATGCAACTTCACACTACTTTAATTGGTATGGCTCAATGCTGTGGAATCACAGGTGCCGTAGTTTGCAAGGCCTTTAGCCTCAGTTGGACTGTCGTTGTTGGTTACTGCGTAAAAATACATTGAATGTTTGCCTTATATATGTAAAACTGTAATCTGCTCTGAATCCCTCCAGGGAGGTAAAGCAGAATATAAATAAAGTGTATTATTATTATTATTATTATTATTATTATTATTATTATTATTATATTACAGCTACCATAATGCTATAGTATTGGGCCATAGTAATTTAAGTGGTATCAAACTGTGTTAGTTCTGCAATGTAGATGCCTCCCATGGCTCCAACTACACTACCATATAATGGAGTTTGAAGCTGCGTTGTATAGCAGTGTAGATGGAGCCTCGGTTGCTGTTTAAATTGAAGAAATCGTAATGGGAAAATAGCATAAATCCATGTCTTTACTTCTTTTTATACATTGGAGACTTGGTTTATTTATAATATTGTTTCATCATTTCCTTTCAATTGTAAGGAGATTAGAAGCAAATAGATAAAATTAGAATCCTTTCTTTTGGTATTTTTGTATGTCATCGAGGTCGCATACAGTTGATCTGAGGTGAAACATACAGCGTGCCAGTATGTCTCTACCACCTCGGGTCAAATTTATCCACGTGAATAGAATAATCAACATGGTATTTATTCATTTTCCCCAAATGCAAGCCTTGAAACAAACCACTAAGAGTGACTGGAATTAATTTGCTTCTTTGAGTCTTTATATACAGCCTGTCAGAATTACAAGTCTCTCAAAACAGTTCACAAAATTTAACAATAATAATATGAAAAATGAAAAAAATGAAATGGGTATTGATAATTAGAATCCTCAGACAATTCAGACAAAAGGCCAGCAGGAAGTATTTGCAATTACAGTTTTAAAGCATGAGCCAGATTCAGATTAAGCCATTCAAAGCAGGTGTAAACAACTAGAGCTGAGATCTTATCCATCCTTGGCAGAGTAAAAAGCATTGTGACACTACTGCTTCCCTCCAGATGCTGGCTCTATATAGAGTTGGCATTTTCTTCTGTTCCTGGCGCTGAGCATTTTTGCCTTATCTGTAAAGGCGCAGAATAGATGATTTCCCAAGCCAACCTTCCAATAGTGCCTTG